AAATTAGAGTTACCATTAACACTAATTTAAAACATTTTCACCTTGAGCAAGAGGCAGTAGTGCATTTTTATCTTTGCATGCAGTGGCGGATTCAAGATTTTTACTTCATGGGGACGTGGTGTAAAAATTTCAATTTTTTTACAATGTAAAAAATAAAAAGTGAACCCAAAAAAAAAAAAAAAAAAAACTGATGTGTCAAACATTCCCACAGCCTTATTGATTTCATATTCAAAGGCACCATGTTGTATGTGAAAGTCTGGTATAAATACATTCCAGCATAAGAAAACAAAACACTTTGTTTTCATTTCCATTGTTAACATCAATAATTTAGCAATAGTTATTGCCAACGCACAAAAAACAGTGGAACTATTATCTTCAATTTTCTTCATAACTGTTTGCCCTAAAATTCAATTAACAGTAGAACTTCATTGCCTCTGAAAAACATGCATGACGTCCTTCTATCTCCTCCCCAAAATCCTACAAAACAATATATAATTTCTGAAGAATTAAAATCTTTATTTATATAATGAAGTTGGAGGAAGTTTTTATGGAGTTTCCCAGGATGGCGGTTGTGGGATTGATTGAATGAAACTTTCTGATTCTGACCCTTAAAAATAAAAAATTAAAAACAAAAACAAAAACAAAAAGACATGGCTCAAAACGGCACCATTTTAGCCATGTCATAAAAGAAATTGAATGCACCTAGACTAAAATAACTTCTTTTTGGCCAGGAGCTAGAAAGAAAAAAAGACCACAACAACGCAAGGTCCTTCAGGTCTTTCATCGAACACATGGTGTGCGGCTTGGGGTCGCACACTAGCTAACCACAGGGTCGCCTAAGGCCTCCACCACCAACTTTTTGGGTGCCATGGGGTCGCTGACCCCTCTAGTCCCTCTGTGCGTCTGCTGTTATTTGCACCCGAGATCTATAACTTTATCATGGATCTAATTTGGATGAATACATAGTAAGTCCATAGACCTCATTTGGTATTGTGAGGCCTTCTCAGTCAATTACCCATGTTCGAATGTCCCATTCTCTAATATCTCTTGTATAAAAATAAAAATAAAAATAAAATATTTTTACCTAAGATATAATTAGATATTATTGTAGTAGTATTTTTTTTCTCAATATTAAAATATATTTCAAGTTCCAACCTCTGGCTCCTTTGTTGAAAGAGACATTTTCAATTACTATCTCTTTGTTTTTATAATTTTTTTTATGCAACAGAGTTGTGATAATAACAATTCTTGGTTTGAAAACAACATCTTCTTTCATAATAAAAGCCAAAAAAAAAAAAATACATTGTCAGCATTTTATATGCAGCTCACGATCTCACAAGGAGTTTATTAACTCAACCTAAGAGCATCCACAATGGGTTCCCTAAATTACCTCCTTAGACAAATTTTAGGGAGAATTTTTGAAAAATACATCTCCAACCATGCTCCCTATCCACCTCCTAAAATAGGGAGACCTCTAAGAGCATCCACAATGGGCTCCTTAAACCACCTCCTTAGACAAATTTTAGGGAGGAATTTAAAAATGCAACTCCAACCATGCTCCCTATCTACCTCCTAAAATAGAGAGTCTTCTAGGAGCTCCTAAATCTGAGGAGAGAGAAAGGACTCCTAGTGGCTCCCTATAACTTAATGCTGCTTTATTTAATGAGTATTTCAAACCTTTATTTAATGCTAACTATTTTTTATTTTATTTTTTAAGAGAGATTGACCAATCAAAAAAGAGTTATAACATTTATGACTTTCTAAATTATGGAGTATGATTGGAGTTGAAATTTTTTAGAGAGCTCCTAAAATAGTTTTCTTATATTTTTAGCTAAATTTTAGCTAAGAAATAGAGAGTAATATTGTGGATGCTCTCCTAAATCTGAGGAGAGAGAAAGGACTCATAGTGGCTTCCTATAATTTAATGTTGCTTTATTTAATGAAAACTTCAAACTTTTAATTAATATTTATTAGTTTTATATTATTTTTTAAAAGAGATTGACCAATTAAAAAAGAGTTATTGCATTTATGACTCCCTAAACTAGAGAGCGTGATTGAAGTTTAAATTTTATAGAGAGCTCTTAAAATAACTTTGATATGTTTTTAACTAAAATTTAACTAAAAAATAAAGAGCATGATTGTTGATGCTCTAACCCTTTACCAACTTCATTAAAGAGAATGTACTTACATGCATGAGTTTTATTTTATTTTTATTTTTATCAAATAGAAATTTCATTAGATAAATTTCAACAGTACAATCAAATATATCAACAAGATATCAATCAAAGTAAAACTAACGTAGATAAAAGCCGCACTAAAACTACTAGCTCATACATCACCACAATTAATCATAAGCTCAAACAAAGCCCACAAACCCAACATAACCAAAACCCTAAAACAACCCATGAGCTTAAACAAACTCTACAATCACCACCTGAAAAAGCACCATCACGGCCACACCCACCACCTTATTTGGGGAAAATATGATTTCCAACGATCTACTACTTGCATGAGTTTTATTTAGATCTTCTTATTTTATTTTGTGTGTATTTTTTATTTTTATTTTTATTTTTGTGTTTTGTATTATACTATTATGAACGCAACTTTATTGCCGTATGCAAGATATCTTATCCTTGTCTTCCCATTCTGACGTTTAATAAATGGTCACTGCAAATCCAAACGTTGTAAGACCATCTCCAATCATGTTAGGGCTAAACTCAAATTTTCACCCTCCAAAATACAACTATTCATGTATTTTTAGGACTCAAACTGTTTTTTCCTCCAACCTTGCGGACTCATAATTTGAGTCTGCAACTTTATTAAATTATTAAAGAATAATATAATCCTATTTTGTTTTTGTGGTTAATTTTTTTAAAATTAATTTTTGCATATTACTTCATGATTTATTTTTTTGAACATTTTGACATAAATTTGTTGAGATTTCACAAACATAATTTTATTAACAAATTGATGGGTATTTATAGAGTTTAGGATATGTTTTGAGGTTGCATCCAACTTATAATAATATATTTACTTATTTTGACCTTTGGATTTAAATTTCAGCTGTTGGATTAATTTTTTTCCCTTTGATCCAGCTGTCTTTTGCGAAATGGGCCCCACAAAAATTCTGCCTGGACTGGAATCTGAGGTGAAATTCCCCCCCATTTTTCAGTCCACTCAAATTGCCCCCCCCTCCAAATACATGGGTTGGAGAAGGTTTTGGGCTAAAAATCTCAAATTTTAGGTTTGACCTCCCATGGTTGGAGATGGTCTAATGTGTTTGCAAATCCAAAGCGTCTTAAAATATACATATACGGAGGCTGGATAGGTTATACTCAATTATTCGATCACATTATAAATAAATGGGTTTTAAAGGTATCGGGGCAATAACTTATACAACGCAAGGAATAGACCGCCTTAAAGAGCTCTGTGTATTGAAAAATACATACATCAATCACTGTAATTCCTTCAATCTTATTTTCAACCGATAAACACAAGGAAAACCCCCAAATGGTAAAAGCATTTTGACGAGAAAAGGATTACAAGTGAAAAGACTCACCTAAACTTCTTCATTAATCACCGGAAATTGAGTTTACAGACTTGTGAAACCTTCCAAAATTACAAAAACTTATCGGACCTCACAACAATGACTTGAGATCGTCGCAACCAGCGTTTGGGTCTTGCAAGGATGAGAAGAGGCTTTTGCTTTTGCTTTTTTGCTTTTGTTTTTGTTATGTTTTCTTTTTGCCTAACAAACAAGGCCTTCACTAATCCATTGGAACAAGTAATGAATATTTTGCAACCCATGCCGGTTTTTAAAAATGCATGATTTAGTTCAACACAAAAAAAAAATGAGATTTTCTATTTAAACCCCGCACTTCTCTTTGTTCACCTCAATACTTAAATAATTAAGCTGTAAGTTTTATTATTGTATAAAAAGACAAAAAAGGTCATCCAACTTAATAATTAACCCTAGTACATCTATACACACCCCACCACTCTTTATATTAAGTTTTAAAAACCTCCTTCCAACTTTCTGTTTACAAACTCTCTCCCTCTCTCTCTCTCTCTCAACTCAACAATACCCAAGTGTTAGAATTCCAGTTACAGTTCTTGGAAAGAGGTAAAATTGTTCTCTTTCTCTAGAAAATATTAAATTTCAGATTTGTGGTTTCATTTGTTTGTGTTTTTTTTTTTTTTGCTGAGAACAAAGAAAATTGTGGGATTTAAATAGAAAATCTCTTTTAGTTTTTATTTTTTTAGTTTGAGGTATATTTAAGGGTAGTTTGGGAAGATAGTGGGGTTTCCTTAGAAATTGTGAAAATTTAAATTAAAAGTTGGGGTGAACTTAGAACATGAGGTGAACTAAGAGAAGTGTGGGGTTTAAATAGAAAATCTCAAAAAAATTAACATATGAAGATTAAGTACCAAATTATCTTGAATGATATTCGGAGGATCCTTGTACCATTTAGAATTCAGATACCTAATTAGATAATAGGGTAAAAGGAACTAGTACATGAGGTACCAAATTAGCTTCTTTAAAAACAAAACAAACCGAAGCACTAGGATGTGCAACAAATTTTTTTACTAACAATTTAACTGCTTTTATAATTCAGAAATAATTTTAAAATTTTCTTCTAAACATTGCTAAAAACACTCTTCCTTTCTAAAGATACTGCCAAACATGCCCTTAACTAGTGTCGGTGTTCCCCAGTTTTACGTGTAACAGCTGTACTTTAATCGCCCGACAAACTATTGGACGTGCCTCCCCCGGTAAAAACTTTTTCAAATTGTTTTTCTTGTTGCAGATATCCAAAAGCAAAAGCAATTCTCATTTCAGTTGTCATCTTCCAACAACCAACACTAGCAAGCCTATGATTTTCTCTAAAGTTAATTTTGTACTTGTATTTGCCACACTGGACCTATCAATTCTCCTTCACATAATTAATGCTGTGGGTTTCTCTTTTATTTTCTTTCCTTTTTCCCTTTTCCACAAACAAAGCTGTTCCCGTCTTTCTCCTTAGCCTAATGTCTCTGTCTTCTGCTGTGAGACTTGAGTAGCTGGAGATCTTGGTTGGCTCAGCAGCAGAGCAAGCCCAAGAATGGAGAAACTGCTCCCTGCAAAGTGCTCTCAAGAACTCTGGTTTGGCATTCTCATCTCCTTTGCTTTGTGCTTTATATTGCTTTCCTTTGATTATTCAACCTTTTTTAGTGTCAACAATGGGGTCAATCTTTTGGTCAACACACAACAAGTTGACCCAATTGGTATTTTGAAGAACCAAACCCTTTCAATTACAGAGAACCAAACCCTTTCAATTACAGACCAGCCCAGCACAGAATCATGCTCTGGTCGTTTTGTTTATATGCATGATGATCTTCCGGAAAAATTCAACCATGACTTGCTCAAGAACTGTAAATATCTTACTAGGGGGACTGATAAGCCCAATTTGTGTCCTTACTTTGAGAATTTTGGTTTTGGTCCTGAAATTGAGAACAATGAAGGGGTTTTGGCCAATGAGAGTTGGTTTTCCACAAACCAGTTCTTGTTGGAGTTCATATTCCACAACAAGATGAAGCATTATGAGTGTTTGACAAAGAACTCCACTCTGGCTTCAGCCGTTTATGTCCCATTCTATGCTGGGCTTGATGTCAGCCTCCATCTGTTTGATTCTAACCTCACGGTCAGAGATATTTCGGCGAAAGAGCTTGTCGATTGGCTTTCGAGAAAACCCGAATGGAAGAAAATGTGGGGGAGAGACCATTTCTTGGTTGCTGGGAGGATTTCTTGGGATTTCAGGAGGCAAACAGATGATGTTTCTGATTGGGGTAGTAAACTCAGGTGGTTGCCTGAGTCTGTGAACATGAGTATGTTATCAGTTGAAGGAAGCTCATGGAAAAATGACTATGCTATACCATACCCTACAAATTTTCATCCTTCAAAGGACATTGAATTGGTTCAATGGCAGGACAGAATGAGAAAGCTAGAAAGGCCTTACTTGTTCACTTTTGCTGGGGCACCAAGGCCTGACCAGCAGAGTTCGATTCGGGGCAAAATTATAGATCAGTGCCTAGCTTCAAGCACATGCAAGTTAATAGATTGTAGTTCTGGTGGGAACATTGATTGTGACAACCCGGCTAGTGTAATGAGGGTGTTTCAGAGCTCAGTTTATTGCTTGCAGCCTGGAGGGGATTCATACACTAGGAGATCAGCTTTTGATTCTATTTTGGCTGGTTGTATACCGGTTTTTTTCCATCCGGGTACCGCTTATTCTCAGTACTTGTGGCATTTGCCAAAGAATCATAGCAGCTACTCTGTGTTTATTCCAGTGAGAGAGGCAAAAGATATGCCAGGCAGCATTGAGGAAATCTTGCTTGGCATTTCAGAGGATAAGGAGTTTGCCATGAGAGAGGAGGTTATAAGGCTAATTCCAAACCTGGTTTATGCTGATCCCAGGTCAAGATTAGAGACCGCAGACGCATTCGATTTAGCTGTGAAGGGAATTCTTGAGAGGATAGAGGATGTTAGGGAGGTGATTAGGGAGGGGAAGGATCCTAGTATTGGTTTTGCTGATGAGGATAGTTACAAGTACACATTTCCTCAGACACAAGAACAAACTTGATTGAGTTCAATTATTTTTGTTTAGGAAACAAAAGGAGATAGAAGAAGAGGTGCAGATCTGCAATTGCTATTTGGGTGTAAAAACTACATGAGACAGAACATGTACTTATTTAGCGTAAATTATAAACTAAAGTTGTGATGTTCTCGTGTTTATAAATTTTTTTGTCAACCTCTCTCTCTTCGTCTCTCTCTCTCTCCCAGTCTCGAACCCGGGAAATGATGGGTTTTGGCTTGGACCACAAATCCAATAGGCTATTGGAGGCAAGCCTTGTGTTCTTAAACATTTATTTATTTATTTAACTTTGCAATTGTTAAACTTTGGTTGATTTGGATTCCACTATATGTTAGTGTGATATTGGGGGCATAAAAACTTTCGAACCAGAAAGTCGAACCAAATCGAGTTGGAAAAAAATCGAGTTTACCAAAAAAGTCAAAATCAGGCTGAAAATCAAACTGGACAAGTTATATCACATAAAATCAGATCAAACCCAACCAAATTGACTATATTTATTCATTTTATTTTTTAAACCATAAAAAATTTGAACCAAACAGTACAGAATCGGTTATGATTCTACATCACAAGAACGAGAAATTATAGAATAGTACGGATGTACCACATCAGCATATGATACTCCCATTCAAATTTTGACATGTGTCCATTTTTAAAAAGAAATTAATTACTTTATTACAGCTGGACTTAACTTTTATCTTTTAAAATAAAATTAGAAAAGTATTAAAAAAGAAAATTAAAGAATTTTCCAACCCTCCGTCTCCAACTCAAAGCTACGCCACCCGTCTCCCTGTCGACCCCTTGCATTTCTGAAGCTACTCCATGCTCAAATTCCTAGGGTGGCATCTGTAGCGCCTTTCAGAGTATGCTTCAACTCAATCCACATCGGCTGTGCCTTTCATTGATTTTGTGTTGCAGAGTGAGAGTGTACTAGAGGGTGTGTTTGTAGCAAATTTAATGGTGCAGGTGCGCAAAGATGTGTTGTGTTTAGGATTTGTGGATGCTATGTTGTGCCCAAGTAACCCAAGGTGCTGCCATTGTGATCAGAGCGCATCAATTGGAGGACAATCTTCTTCAATTTGATTTGGCTAATAAAATACTTGGGTTCAAAATTGGATTCTAAGGTGAATTGTCTGCTGAGCATCCGATTTTGAAGAGGAAGAGCAAGGAGAGGGGTGGCACAGATTGGGGGTTATGGGTGTTTGGGTTGGGGACGAAGGGTTGTTGGAAAATTCTTTCTTTCTTTCTTTTTTATTTTTCTAATTTTATTTTAAAAGATAAAAGTAAAGTCTAGCTGTAATAAAGTAATTAATTTCTTTTTAAAAATGGACACATGTTGAAATTTGAATGGGAGTATCATATGCTGACGTGGTACATCCGTACTATTCTATAATTTATCCACAAGAACATACTCCCAAACCCAAATTTTAGGTGTTTTAACATTATTTTTTTTCATGTTAACTTTCTTTGAGTTAATTTTAGTTTAATCCATCGTAATTTACTTTTATGGACATTTTAACCAAAATAAAATAAATTCTGGAAAATAAAATTTGTTTCATAAAAACGAGTAGAACACATAAATAAAAATGGTTTTGGGGCCATCTTTGAAAGAAATGATAGTGAAAATTTAAATAAAATTGAAATTTGAAGAAACTTTGGCATTGAAATATGAATAAATTAACGTTATGTGGATAATTTAACAAACAAGTCCCTTGGCACATGTGTGAGCATGTGCCAATTGGTTTTCTTTTTTCTTTTATTTTTAGAATTAAGAAAAGATAACATGGATAGTTATGTTCCATAAAAGTATGACCTATTATTTGATTTTGTTTTTAATTTTAATTTTTTAATATATAAAATGTGAATTTTATCATATTATCCTCATTTAATAAATAATTTCAATTCTTAATATTTGAATTAATAAATAGCATTTTTTAGTATTTTGAATGTTTCACCATTCTCAGCCTTTTGCTTTGTATATATAGATAAATGTGTATTTATAAAGTTTGAAATGAAAAATGATGTTGGATATAATTTAGAATATTTTATTTAATTATTTTGATCACTGGATTTAAATTTGAGCCTTTTGATTTTTTATTTATTTAAATCATCCAAAAATGTTGTATGTCGTTGACTCATTAAAAAATAAAGAAAAAAAGAGAAATTGGATTAGAAGCTAGGCGCTGGATTTAGCGAGTTCTCGCTGAACCCGTGAGGCGCGCTGCTCACAATAAGCCATTTTAGCGCTAAAGGACAAAAAAGGGGTGCATGTGCTTCTTGTGGGCCCAATATTTTTAGCTCGTTTAGTATTGGGTCCAAAATTCCAACTGTAGTAATTCCCAAATTTGGGCCTGTGGGGAGTCCTTTGGTTGGATTGGAGACGCGGTTTCGCGCCAATTTTTGCTGAAATTTGGGTCTAAGACCCTGAATTGGAGATGGTCTTAGTTTCGTGAAGTTCAATATCCTGCATATTCTTGTACCTGGTTTTTGACAAATTTCTTCCAATAGCAGTAAATTTTACGCACCACATGATAATCCCGCTCTTGCCTCAAAATAACTGTTACAAACTCATTGACTTATTCTTTGCAACTCATATGGAAGAATTTGAAGTTTATTTACATATAATGATCATAGACAATTTTTTAAAGGCGAGCTAAAGGTTTTTAGTGGCCTAATGTAGCATATTTTGAATGTTTTATCATCATATACCTTTCTCTGTATACATATTAGTTCTTATGTATAATTATAGTTAAAGAGAATACTAAGAAATATACATACTTATTAAATAAGGGTAATATGGTAAATTTACAAAATAAAATAAAAATTTATAATAAAAAATAAAATAAGATCATGGATCCTATTTTATTGGGACACAACTACATGTAATTTGTCTTTTTTAAATTTAAATTGGTTACTAATCTTTAATAATAAAATATTTATATTAAAGAAAAGGGAGCTTTAGTTTTTCACACACACTATAGTTTACTATTTAGGTAAATAGGAATTCAATTTCAGCTAATTAGGATAAAGCCAAAATATAGTACTTGCTTTTACCTTAATATAATTAAAGTTGGGCCAAGCTTTTTAAGAAGAATGGTAACATTGTCTTTTCAGTTATTATTTTAAGCTAGTTCAACTAATCTGAGCCTCCTCTTTAGCCTAATCTAAACTAACAATTCTTTCCTAGGTATTAAAACCCAAACAAAAATACCCAATATCTCAAATACTAATTAGTAAAGTTACTTATAAGACCCAATTGGCACATGCGTGCCAAGTGACTAGTCTAAATAGAAAAAAGAAAAAAAAAGACAACAACAAATAAGACACGTGTTATTTTTGGTAAGAAGTAAGCCAAGTGTTGGCCTCTGAAAAATAAAATCAGCATGATAATAATTAATAAAATAAAAATACACACGTCTTTTAATTAGAAAGAGGCGACCACTACGTTTCCTCAAAAGCCAAAAACCGACAAAGCAAACATGCTATAACTTTCGTTGTTTGTTAAATTGTTTTGTTGTATTTTTGTTTTCCTTTTTTAAGTACAAAAGGTAATCTAAAATTACAGGAGATGAGATCTCTCACTCACATTATCAAGGCATAATGGGGTTTGAATCAGCTTGTTTACAAGTTAATGGTTTTTTTCAATATGGGCTAGACCCCGTTGGTATTTTAATTTTTGTTTTGAAATAATGAAAATAAAATAATTAAATGCAAAAAATTTAAATACAAAATAAAATGGACAAACCTTGTATGAAAGGAGGCGGCCAACCATGCTTCACTCCAAAACTTGATCCTTTAATTTCGGCATTGATTTCTCATTATATTCGGCCACGAAGTACGGTTAAGACCGAGATGTGTTTCGAACTTTTTTTTATTTATTGGCCTTTATAAAAAAAAAAAAATAAATGAGACATTAATCTAAGCCCATCAACCAGTAAGGTTGGGAAAACAAAACCACCGAGTGGGCTGTAATGGTGACTAATGTGATGGGTTTAGTGGCAAAGATGATAACGTTTCTTGCTCAACCCAATGACTGAAATATGATTGGCAAACAACCAAGGTGGTTGATGTGAGTGGTTCGGCACTCTCATTCCTTAAGAGAAGGTCAGGGGTTCGATCCCTGCTCTCGTATGGAGTCACCACTTTGGCCAGCACTTTACCCCTTACGGGCCGACCCGGTGTGAGCGGGGATTAGTCTGGGTTGTGGTTAAGGCTTAAAGGTGCCACCAATAGTTGGGGCTCATCCAGGACCACCTCGTGATTCAAACCAAAAAAAAAAAAATATGATTGGCAAACCGGTGTAGAGAGTAAACTATTGACTTCAATGTCCAAACGGCTAGGAAGTAGCTTGCATGATGATTCAGTGACTGTTTAGGGCAATAAGCTTGTTTAAACAATGAGGCTTGGGGGAATAAGTTCATAATCCTCCTCCATGAATATGCTTCCAATTACTTATTAAATTATTTTTTAAATTTGCAAGTGATTCGTGACATTCATCGATTAACAATCACTCACGTGTTTATGAGAATATAAAGGCCAATTTGATAACCATTTCAACTTTAGTTTTTAGCTTTCATATTTTTTGCTAGAGTATTAAAATTTTAGTGAGAATGAGAGTAAAGATGAGATTAAGAGCGAAGATGAGAGGAGTTGATGGGATGAATGAGTAACAAAAGTGAACACAAAAACTAAAACCTGAAATATATTTGAAATTATTTTCACTTTTGCTACTCTTCTCTCTCAAAAACTAAAAACTAAAAACTAAAAAATAAAATCGAAATGGCTATCAGACGGCCCCAAAAATATTTCTCCTTTTCACTTTAACTTTTTCGGTTGGTGAGGCGGGCCGAAGCGCAAAAAGCAAGAAGAAAGACTACACGGATGACCCTAGCTTTTGCCAAACTCATGGTATAGCGACCTCTACACAAAATGTATCTTCTTTTATTTATTGAAACTTACAATGTACTTTATATAATAACCTTTCTATTTTTTTTTTCTTCTCTGGTTTACTTTCTGAAAAAAAAAGGACTAAATATAAATTCTTTAGTTGCTAGTGTAAGAAACAGAGGTAAAAACTGGCATTGTCTCATATAATATTTCTACAACCAAATGGAAATAATTATAGTTTGATGAATTTCAATATCCTGCAATGTTCTTCTATCTCTTTTTGTTCTCTAAACACAATCTACCAAGTTTATTCTGGTGTCTCAGGAAATGTAAACTTAAAATTATCCTCATCTGCAAACCAATACCAAGATCCTTCCTCTCTCTAATAACCTCCCTAACATTCTCTATCCTCTCAAGAATTCCCTAAACAGCTAAATCAAATGCATCTTCGGTCTCTAATCTTGACCTGGGATCTGCATATACCAGATTTGGTATTAGCCTTATAACCTCATCCCTCATGGCCAATTCCTCATGCATTGAAATTCCAAGCAAAGTTTTCTCAATGATGCCTTCTTTCAAATCTTCAACTTCTTTCACCGGAATGAACACCGAATTCTTGGTATGATTCTCCGGTAAATGCCACAAATACTGTGTATACGCAGTTGCAGGATGAAAGAAAACCGGAATGCAGCCTGCCAGAAACGAGTCGAAAGTTGATCTTCTAGTGTGTGAATCCCCTGGAGGCTGCAAGCAATAAACAGAGCTCTCAAACACCCTCATAACAGTGACAGGGTTGTTACAATTAATCCCAGAAGAACCACAATGTAAGAACTTGCAGTTGCTTGAAGCTTGGCACTGATTCATAAGCTTGCCCCCGGATTGAATCAATCAAGTTTCTAAATAGCCGCACAGCTTCTTCCCATTTTCCAGACTTGCATGCTGCAGAAATTAAGGAAGTAAAAGTGACAACATCTGGAATTATGCCTTTCTCATTCATTATTTCAAACAGAGCAAGTGCTCGCTTCCAAAGACCATATCTCAAAATAGGATCACAGCCTGGTCTACTCGTCTCTCTTTGCATAAGCTGTCAATGACTGGATTATAGCATTGAGGGTTGGGCTTAAACCTTCCATCTTGATAGATGTGCTCGAGTATCTCAAGTGCAATACATGTCTTCCCAGCTCGGCATAACAAATTAATTATACGAGCGTAAGTGACTTCACTGCATGCTAATCCTTTCTCTATATTTTCCGGAACAACTGCATGACCTCAGACATCGACCCATACTTGCAAACTCCATGAAGCAAAGCAGTCAAAGTATAAGCATTGGGCTGAAGACCATGTTTAAGGGTAGTTGCTAAAACAGAGAAACCCAAGTCCACCCGATTCATAGGGCAGAAGCAATTGTTAACAATACTCAGTGTACTGACCTCGGGGTGTAAGCCAATACAACCCAGCATCTGTTTATACATAGAAACTACAGCGGAAACCTGATTCATCTTGGAGAGTGCCCCAAAACAAATGATTACTAGCTTAAATAGGGGGAATGGGTTTCATTTGAATTATGGATTTGAAGTGTGCTTCATCTAACCCAAGATTACCAGATTTACAACGAATTTCTACCAATTTCTCCAAATCAATGGTTTCCTTAGGGTTAGGATCCTATAATTGTTTGAAACCACTTCCATTCACTAATATTGCTTGGTCATACAAGTTTAGAATGCAATGACATGATTAGCAGTTAAAGATTTAACAGAAATGTAACTAGTTCCACCAGTCTCATGGGGAACTATTCTGCAGATACAACATGCCTTTTAGGACGCAAACCTCTCAAAGCTTTTAGGGTTTCCACATCAGGGATCACTCCTTGTTCGTTCAATTCCTCAACGAGACTCAAAGCTTCACCTATCCTTTTAGCTTGCATATAGCCGTTGACCAAGGCTTTATAACAAGAAGCAATATCAGGGGCATGATGTTTTATCACCATTAAATCAATGACCTTCTTTGCCTTATCCATTTTGCCACGAAAACAATAACCATCAATTAGCATACTGCAAGTTATTTTGCTCAGCTCCATACCATATTTAACTTTGGCCTCAACTACTTTATGAGCCTCTTCTGGCATCCCTCCTTGGAAGAGAGCATCCAAAAGTATTGTCAAAGTTATGATATCAGGTAAGACTCCCTGAACTACCATTTCATCAAACAACCTTGTGGCTTCAGCCCATTGATTTGTACAGCACATGCCATAAATTAGAGAGTTGTAAGTGAAATTGTTAAGCCTCATACCTCTTTGGGACATTAGCTCTAACACGGAGAGCGCTTCGTCGATCCGTCTCTCCTTGCAAAGAGCATGTATTACAGTGTTAAAGGTTACAACATTTGGTGCAGTTCCTTCATCCAGCATTCTATTAAACAACCTTGTGGCTTCTTTCCATTGCGCAGAATGGCAGAGGCTATTAATTAAGGAGGTGTAGGTGACAACATTAGGCTTTACACCTCTACGGAACATTTCTTCCACAAGGTTAAGTGCCTCTGCCGTCTTCCCTTCCTTGCACAAAGCATCCAACACAGAACTGAATGTAACAATATCAGGGAAGGCGCCACAATCAATCATGTTTCTAAATAGCAGCACAGCTTCTTCCCACTTACCCGACTTGCATGAAGCACCAATTAAGGAATTGAAAGTGAAAACATTAGGCTTTATGCCTTTGTTTTTCATTATTTCAAACAGAGCAAGTGCTCTTGTCCAAAGACCCATGTTGCATAATCCATAAATTAATGAAGTGTAATTGATGACATTTGGCGCAACACCTTTGTTGATCATATCTTGAAATAGGGTCAGCGCCTCATCTATTCTTCTTTCTTTGCATAAGCGGTCAATGATCGGATTATAGCATTGAGGGTCAGGCTTAAACCTTCCATCTTCATACATTTGCTCGAGTATCTCAAGCGCCACACATGTTTTCCCAGCTCTGCACAACCCATTAATTATAGTAGCGTAA